AGAATCCATTACTATTGTTATTAACGTGGCCATTAAGTCACAGCTTTTCTTTGGTCTTATTCAAGTGTGATTTGCAGGTAACACGCGTGGAGTGTTCCTGTGAACGTGCCAGCCACTTGCAAATGGTGAAATGGTGTGGCTTTGAGGATTGTCATTATAGTTCTGACTGGGAAATGTGGTTGTAAAGCACAAGTCTTGTGGAAAAGGCAAGTCTCTTCCAAATTCTTACCTGGTTTCCCATAAAACCTTCTGAATTTTGTCAGTAGTATCCTTCAGCAAAGAATCCTTCCAGCCATTGACTACCTGTATCTTGTACTGGAAGAGATGATGAATATTGAGTCATCCTCTGTGTTTTCTCAGCTACTGCCAAGTTCCATAGAGCTTTGTCCCATCTCCTTTCCATCATCACTTTTCTAGGCTGGACAGTCTACCTCTTCTGGCTGTAAAACCAGCAGCCTCAGGGCTTGCCACTTGTTCCTACTCCTGCCCTTGTGCTGGCTAAGCAGCTATGGGCAGAATAGGTGGGAACTTCACCTGGGTGCCATTTGGAGCACCACTTTAATCATTTCTTGGCACAAAAAGAAGCACCTTCTGCATGCCCATATCTTCCTTGGTGTTCCCACCACTCTTCTTTGCCAGCTCAGTCAGCCAAACAGGTACCAGACCACTGCAGAGTCACCTGAAACTAATCTAGCCAGGAGGAGTGAATAGCTTCTCCCTGGGCCAAGGGGGTTGATGGAGCTTGTGGAATGATCCAGCAAAGCTGCAGAGCTGGCTTGAGCTGTGCAGCAGAGAGATGAGAGGATGGGTACTGTAGGAGCTCTTCTTGTTGGCATTGTGCTCTTCATTGCATTCAGCCATGCTGGGCAGCCTGTTTTAATTTGGCTGGTTTAATCTAGGCTCCTTGTGAGACTGGGCAAACGTTTGTTCTGGCAGGAGGAGGCAGAAGACCTTGAGAACAGGAATGAACCCTGCTCCAGTAGTTTTCCAATTCATAGATTCATGGAATGGTTTGGGTTGGAAGGAACCTTAAAGCTCACCCAGTTCCAACCCCTGCCATGGGCAGAGACACCTTCCACTAGAGCAGGTTGCTCCAAGCCCCTGTGTCCAACCTGGCCTTGAACACTGCCAGGGATGGGGCAGCCGCAGCTTCTCTGGGCACCCTACTCCTCAATAAGTGCTAAAAGATCACCAGCTTCCTCCCCTCTGGAATGGCTTGTCCCTAGTAGTGCAGCTTATTTACTAAGGTAGATAAGCGAGCTCTGAAGAGCCTCTTCTTGGGAACTCATCTGTGTTACTTGTATCTTGTGCAAACAGTTCACAGACCATAAATTCACATCCATCTGCTTGCTGGGTAATATGGGATTTGCTTATTGTGCCTTCGTCTTCCCAGTTTTTTTTTCTGGGGAGGGGAGCTGTTTTGAAAGCTTGGGTGTAACATATCCCTAAACTGGACTGCTTTTGCCAAGCCCCACTGGGAACACTGGAGTGTGAATGGATACTTGCTATAAAATTGGCTTTTATGTATTGCATATCTTTAAGCACAGGCACATGGGGCATTTGTTTTGGACAATGAATTGGAATTCTGTTGGGATTTATATTGCGTCTTGTAAAGAGGGCACATTTACCCAAGAAGCAAAACTGTCAACTCCTGTATTTTTCCCAGAGAGCTCCTGTTGCTTTAATAATCTACTTATCTGGGGAGTTTCTTCAAATATCAAAAGGCCATTTATGTGCTGCCTGGAGAAGACCAGGGAGAGCTGGGTTTGTGCTTGAATTAATAGATACAGGCTGGTCACAGCAGGTCTGATGTCCTCTCTAACTCACCACTGTACGTTTGCAGGGCAGAGATAGCAATCATTTGCTTTCATCTCACATCTCCTCTTTGCTCAGCTGGAGGAACTCTTAGCAGGGCTGCATAGTTTCTGCTGCTGTTTAGACAAGACATTAAAGACAAGTTTAAATGAAACCCCTTAGAAATAGCAATCAGGAATGGCTTGTGACAAGGCAGGGGAGGGAATGCCTCACGAAGGAGGTGGAAGTTGTCTTTAAGGCTGATGTTTTAGGGCAAGAAGTGTCTTATTTTCTGACTTTCAAATAAATAATAAAGCCCACCCCATCAAGCATCACTCCTCTCTTTTCCTCAACACAACAGGCTTCATCCTGGATTCAATAGCTGGGTTTGTGGTGTGAGTATAGATTTCATCAAGTTGGGTCTTGCTTCTCTCTGCAGGGGCTGCTCTCTCAAACAGGATCCTCTTACAGCCTTTTGAAAGGGGAAATCATCAGGCCAAGTCAGGGGTCCTGTGTGAAACCAGCACTTGTGTGGGGATGAGCAGATGATCTGTGCTTCATTATTTGTAAAGGCTGCCAGTGGAGAGCTTATTTTTAGAGGAAGAGTTTTATTATAACAGCATTGCTTGCTTCAGGCTTTCTCCCAGAACTCATTTGCTTTTGCTGGGTGGGTTTCTTCTTGATTCTACTCTCGTATGTTGAAGATGAACACTGTGATAGGAAGGAGGAGAGGTTGTGGAGATAGATTCTGCTTTTGGAGCTAGGACCTAACCAGCTCTGACATTCAGGTCATGGCCAGTGCTTTCTGAAGGGGTCTGCCTTAACACCTGAAACTCCAAAGGATCCCTCAGTTCAGAGGAATTGCCAAAGCAGCTCCTTCATGCACTGCTCCTGTCACTGGCTGGTTTTGTTCCCATGGCTCAGTTATCTAGTGGGTACAGAGCCTGGTTTCTGTCTCTTCAGGCTGAAACTGCACTGAAAATGTGTGTTGCTTTTGCAAAGCAACTCGTTAGGAGATGATTCTGATGACAGCGTTGTTGGCACGCTTGTGGGGAGTCTTCTGTCACAGGAGTGTGTTTCTGCTGACCCAACGCAGCCGGCTTTGCCTGGAGGAGCACTACCATCGCCTGCAGAGAGAGCCCATACACTGTGTAAAGGCAGCTTGCTTATTTCAACCATCCTGGCAGGCTTTCTCTTGTAGTCCTGTGTGTGCTGGGTGTGTAACCTCTTAAAATGGCTGCTACTTCAACAGCCTCTTTGCCCACATCTTTAAAGCTGAAGGTAGAACAGCTTGGCCACTGAGTTTTCTGTCTGGAACACCCCCTGAATGCTTTTGCACTGCGTCTGCATGTGGCAGTAGGCTGAGAGGGCCAGGCTGGGCTTCCTGTGCCCATGCAGCATCCACGCTGTTGTGCACGTCCTCTTCCTCCTGCCCCCTGGTGTAAGGTTTTGGCTGTGGGACATCTGTTTGGTTGGCCTGATGGGACTACCAGGAAGGGGGTTATGTCTTTCAATGTCTTATGTCCTTTCACAGGCTTGGGGGTAACAGACTCTTATCTTTAGGTCTAGACACAACTTGAACTCCCAAATCATGGAATAGGTTTGGGTTAGAAGGGACATTAAAGATACCTGCTTGCAGCTCCCCTGCCTTGAGCTCTTGTCTCAAATGCTACGACTGCTTAGAATCATAGAACCCGTGAGGGTAGAAGAGACCTTTAAGCTCCTCCAGTCCAACCATTCCCAGCCCTGCCAAGGCCACCACTCACCCCTGGCACTGAGGCCTCGGCTACCCGGGCTGTGAACACTTGCAGGGACGGTGACTCCAGCCCTGCCCTGGGCAGCCTGTTCCAATGCCTGAGCACCCTCTGGGCAAGGAATTGTTCCTCAGCTCCAGCTAAACCTGCCCTGGGGCAGCTTGAGGCCGTTTCCTCTTGTCCCATCCCTTGTTCCTTGGGAGCAGAGACCAGCCCCCTCCTGGCTCCATCCTCCTGTCAGGCAGTTGCAGAGAGCGATAAGGTCCCCCCTGAGCCTTCTCTTCTCCACACTAAACCCCCCAGGTCCCGCAGCCCTTCCTCATCACACTTGTGCTCCAGGCCCTGCTCCAGCTCCGGTGCCCTTCTCTGGCCCTGCTCCAGCACCTCAATGTCTCTCTTGCAGTGAGGGACCAGAACTGACACAGGATTCGAGGTGCAGCCTAAGCAGTGCCCAAAGCAGGGGGAACGTCCAGGTGCTGGGACAGGCCAGGATGCTGGTGGCTTCTTGGCTGCCTGGTCAAAGGTGCTGCTACTGTGATGCGCTTCCATTTGTTCTCATCTCAGTGCTAACTTGCTTTCCCTCCCTGAGGAGAGTGCAGACCCTCCACCTTCCCAAGTACATCTAAAGTCCCCCTAATGCTCTAGTACATCTGATGTCCCCCTCCAAGCACTCCAGTCCATGCAGCCTTTCCCCTTGCCGTGCATTTCTTGGTTTGCTAGGCCCAAAACTGCCCCTTGCATAACCCTTGTGACTTGAACAATCAGCCTAAGCTGTGAGATGCTGCCAGAAGGAGAGGCTTCTTGCTGTGGTCCCCACTGCTGCCTCACATACAGTGGGGTGCAAATTAGCCATCCAGAGGAGTAACTTGGTGTGGCATTACTGTGGTTCTTTGAGCCCTGGTTTGGGAACTGTAGGTACAGGCTAAAGGCATGTCCATGCTGCTGAATTTTGGGTAGGGGGCGACTAGTAGTTTCTGGCTTTGTTTTTGGAGACAGGCAGATAATGGTCTTGCTTTAATGAAGTTAAGTTCAGCTCTTGAAGGCTAAAGATGTGATTTCATTTGAATGGTTTAATGTTGTAATTAACTCAGTATTTCATGCCTGAAATATTTCATGTATTTAATGATGCGTGCCTGTATTGGCATGAGATTCTAGTGAGTGATTCAATTCCTCTACTACATGCTATGGTTAGAGGTGTCATCTCTTCCTAAAACTGTGGGGCCAAGGGTGTGGAGGGGAGAAGGGTTAGGTGAATCCAGATGCCGTGGAGATTATCAGCCCAGTTTTAATAGCCATTATGGCATAGTGGGTTTTGTGGGTCCCCCTGCGACTGCACAGCTCAGTTCTTTCAAAGAAGTAAGTTTAAATCATTGTGTGCTGAAAGCAAAGGTAAAAGTTTCCATGAAGAGTAAAAAGAGCAATGTTTCTGACTGCCCTTTCTGCTTTCTCTAGCTTCCTGGTCGCAATTTCAGGCAAGGCTACAATGCTGATGTTGGTGACAAGTGGATTTGGCTGAAATGAAGTCAGCTCCCTTTAGAGCCCTAACAGCAATGGACCACAGCACTTGAGTGAAGAAGCTGAGTTCAGTGTGTGACTGCTCTCCATCAGCTGTGTAGCACGAAGAAAAAACTGCTTAAATCATCTTCCAGCGTAAGAGAATAAGCCCCTAGAAGGGAAATCACTTTCTTCTGGTTTGGTCTTCCATGATGAATTTGGGGTGCTTTGGATGTTGGCTAGTTAATGTGTGATAGCAAAGTGATCTGGGATCACAGGGGCAGACTTGAGATCAGTGCTGGACTTGTTCTTCATCCAGACTGTGGTATATTATCCGGGATTGTTGTTGTTTTGCTGAATCAAAAGAAATTAAACCTGTCTCCTCCTGGCTCTCACCACGTGAATTTCTTGCTGTGTCATGCATGGTGTTTTATTAGTTTCATTAGGAGAGTGCACATGCTAGAAAAACCCCAAGCTTGGATCATGTTCTGAAAGCCTCTTACTGGACATCAGCATCAAAGAAGGTAAACAGAAAGTTCATTGAGAGAAGGCAATAAATATTGAGCTCAATTGAAACAGCAAAATATCTGTGCATAAAAGTATCAAACCCCCTCCAAGCTAGTTGCTACCAGTTGCACTCAGAACTTCTTCCATTGCATGGGCACGACAGATGAAAATGATTGTTGGGTATGAAAGGCAAATGTAATCATTATTTTTGCAAGTCCTTGAAAATCCAAGTTGGAATTCTTTGTAAAGGGATGAGTCATTTGGTATTAGTTAGTCCTAGAACCGAGGCACCTTGGCACTGGTTCAAGCAATGCTGTCCAGAGTTAGGCTGCAGTAATTCTGCTTTTCCAGCAAGGGGCTAACTCCTTCCCTCACTGAGTACACGGGCTGCCAGGCATTCCAGTGCTCCGGGCAATCCTTTGGATTCAGCAGCCAAGCCTTGCCCATGCCACTTCCCATATCAAAACTAGGATGAAAAGATTCCTTCCTTGGGGGCCTGGTTAGATACTGAACTAATTGAGCAGTGGGATAGGAATGTGGCTCATCTCACTGATCCCTTAGCATTTTGTTTCCAGGTTTTATGGCCTTAAGGAAGCCAAAGGGCTGACTGCTTTGATGCCACTGTGCCAATCCTGCACTGATGCAGCTGGTGTCTTCACAGTGATGAGCAAGTGCTGGGGTGCAAGTGAAAATGCAGCAGCACTGGGGTAGTTCTGGAGTCCTGTGTGTTTCTTGAACTGCTGCAAGATCTTCTGTGTGCTTTCACCCTCCAGAGGCTGTTAATTGGGGCACTGGACCTGCTGCAGCTCAGCAATGGGCTTCCTTATCCCATGTCTCCTGCAGGAAGGTGTATCTTGGTGCTCTCATGCTTGAGGACCTGCCAGCATGAGCCACTGTTGTCTTCTCCTGTGCAATGAGATCCTGAGCAATTACTGTTGGCTTT